AAAAATGATGGAACGGTTGACATTTCTTTGTCCGGGTCCAGCAAGTCGTTTTTGGACCTGGGGGTGTGGGTGTGGGTCTTGTTTTTATCTGCATCCACACTCACACCCACACCCAATTATTAGATTATTATCGACAAGCAAATAAAATCGTCTTTTAACGAGATGGTAAAATAATTCCATTTCTTTTGAATTTATTTTCAATGGAAGATTATTTTAGGAGTTGATGATGGTCAATTTGGAAAAATTCTTGCTCATGAAATTCTTGCAATTCGTCAAGCCTTTAGTCGTAAGTCATTCAAGTTAATCTTAATCTTAAATTCAAATTTTAATTTTAATTTTAGTTATTTATAGTGATAAATTTGATCATCCACTTTTGACTTTCATTTTAGTTAAAAAACGTCATAATACACGTTTTCTTTACTTATAATGAATCAACACATGAAACAAATAATATGACAATTGCTGCTGTCATTAATACAACAATTGTTCATCCATATCAAAATAATTTTTATTTAAATTCACATAATGCATATCAATGTGTTAATCATCCATCACTTTATCATGTGCTTTTGGATGAAATTGGTTTCACAGCTGATGAGTTGCAATTATTAGCATATCATTTATGTTTTACAGATCCTCGATCATTAGCTGCTGAAGCGATTCCATCAGTTGTACATCAAGCTGATATAGTAGCATTAAAAGCTCGAGATGTGTTTTATGATGATGAACGGTGAGATCAAAAGAATATTTACCATTGGTTTTAAATACTTTTTTGCTTAGTTCATCAGCAACAAGTATCGATGGACGTAGTCAACCCTTACGTAATCCAACTCTTGATGATGTGGATTATAAGATTCTTGATGTTCATGAGAATCTTAAAAATCGACCAATATTTGGTTAATTGAAATCTTTTCAGATTGGTACCAATTGAAGATCAGGATTTCTATTGGTGAAGGCTCATCCGCAGCTATCTGTTTTGACCTTGTATTTCAAAATTACTTCAAGATAAATTTTTGCTTCAATCACGAATTTTTTTTCTATCACTTGCATGATACATGATTTTTTTTAAAATATTTTATCAATACCGGATAGTGTGATAAAAAAGTGTCAATAT